CAGGTTCGGAAGTAGAACACGGGCATGTAGCCGGGCATCACCGGGTTGGATCGGCCGCCCTCGTCCTTCTTGGCGAAGTAGATGTTGGCCTTGAACTTGGTGTGGGTCTTAGTGGCGCCTGGAGCGCAGATCACCTGGCCACGGAACACAGCATCCTTGTCAATACCACGGCACAGCACGCCCACCGTGTAGCCTGCCGGGCCCTCAGGGAGGTCGGTGTTGAACATGCGGATTCCGGTGATGACGGACTTCTGGGGCTTCTTGCCGCGGCCCAGGATCTCGACCTCATCGCCTTTCTTGACGATGCCCTGCTCGACGCGGCCCGTGCACACGGTTCCTCGGCCCGAGATGGAGAACACGTCCTCAACCGCAAGGAGGAAGGGCTTGTCCGTCTCGCGCTCCGGGGTGGGGATGTACTCGTCCACGGTCTCCATGAGCTCAAGGATCTTGTCGACCCATTTGTCATCACCTGAGCACTGCTAAGTCACAAGCTTGCCGTGACGTGAAGCTGCACACCGCTTATTATTGCCGCTTACCACTGAGTGTGTCTCTCTCGCTGCAACAAACGAGCATGTCCTTACAAGTACACAGCTTGTAAACCTCTTTAAGCAACCCTTATGAACGCCCTATAGAATCTGTAGAACTCAGTGAAAACCTCATGGTGCGCCTTAAGACCTTGTAAACTAGAAACCTCATTGAAACCCCATAAGCTTAAGCTAAAGCCGTGCCACCTACAAAATTGAGTTCGACTCCTACAAGACGAAGCCAAGGGCATTGAGACTTCAGGGTTTAGGGGTTGTAGGGGGTTTAGAGAGTTTAGGTCTTCAGGGTTTAGGGTTTAGGGTTTAGGGCTTAGGGGTATTAGGGGAGGGAATGGGGCTGCTGATAGTAGCCCTGCTGAGCGTTTACCCTCCAAGTACCCAATCCCCTGTTCGGATTCTTTGGACCCTTGGGACTAGGGTTGTGGAGGCCTCCGCTGACCTCGGTACACATCCTGCAGAGCAAGGGGTGGGGATACCATGCAAGCTCAGGTGGATCCCTGGTCGGCTCTTGTCTCAAGGACAGTTTAGGCCCCTTTAGGGTTGTTTAGGGTTTACTTTCTCTATAGGAGTAACACCACAATTGAGATTCTGCCACTTTTCGAGCACTTTGCCGCGAGGTCGGGTTGGGACTTTATGCCGCGAGCGGCAAACGCACTCAGCTGTCATATAGGGGCCTTGAGAATTAGAATAGGTTTATACTATACTTTTAATAAGGAGCCGCCAAAATGATGTATGTAAGCGTTACGGCCCATAGGTTAGTCTCTTCGACTGTTTCGCTGTTATGGCCGTCGTGCACACGCACATATCTCGGTGTCCCGTCCTACCTGTTCTTCAAAGCTGATGGATTGGGGCGGAAAGCAGTTCAAACTGCTCCAACAAAGACAAATTTCCCGAATCTCAGGGAACCGCTCCCCGCAACCCCCAACCCCAAACCCCTCAACCCTAAACCCTAAAACTCTGTACAAGCGTCAACATCCCAATCCAACCGAACGCCGATAAACCACCACAGCCCTGCAAACCCCAAACCCCACGGCCCCGTCAAGTCCTATGCAAAACACTCGCAGAGCCCTTGAAAGGGTTCTCACTGTAGAACTCAAGCGCACCTACACCCTCTAAGAGTCTCAACGCAGGGGGCCCTCTTGCAGAACAACATAATGTAGGGGCCTTCATAATTAGCATAGGGTTTTGGGGCTCCTTTCTGGTAATATGAGGAACTCCCAACATAATATAGGCAATCATAAGGGCCCCTAATATGAACCCTCCAACCCCTAAAACCCTACAACCTTCATTCAACAGTTATGGAAGCCTTGTAAACACAACCCTACTTAAAAACCCTAAACCCTAAACCCCTAAACCCTAAACCCTAAACCCTAAACTCTTTACTCTGTGAGAACAGGCACCCTTCTTGGTGCCGGGATCCTTCTTCATCTGCTCCAGAGCTTGCAAAGCGCTTCCTGGCGAACTATGAACTTTATGGGTTTGGGTTTAGGGATCAGGGTTTATGGGCTTTAGGGGTTAGGGTTGAGGGTTTTGGGGGGGTTTAAGACCTAAGGTTCAGGAACGTGCAGGCCTGGGGATTTAGAAGGGGCGAAGGTAGCACTGCCACTTGTGTTTGCTGCCAGGGTTCAGGGTTTAGGTGCACGCGCCCGGTAGTACTGTTCGTGTCCAAGGGCTTTATTGAATGTCCTTTCCCAAAAACTTTATTAAATGTCCTACCCTAAACCCTAAACCCTAAACCCAGATACCCTGCACAAGTTGACGACTTAGCAGCAACTTCGTCTCCCTCGGACCCGGGATGGCAAACTGCTAACAGCGGTACACTCCCGAAATCACTGAACCTGAAACCCTAAATCCCTAGAGCCACAGAACCTGCAAAGCGAAACTCCAAAGCCCGAACCCGAAACCGTAAAACCTTGAGTCCATAAAACCCCTGAACCCTAAATCACCCAAAAAATCTCTGAAATTTGAATCCCTAAAGCTCAAAACGCTACATCCATACGCCCGAAACCTCAAAGCCACAATTAGAATAGGGTTTTGGGGTGTATTGTACTATGATTATAATAAGGCGGCCCCAAGATAGTATAGGCAAGTATTACGGCACCTATTAAACCAAAAAATTCTAGAAGGCAGCAAGCTTGGGCTGCGTGGCCTTGGATGAAGGGCGTGTCATCGCCAGGAAAGCCGTACTGGCTCAGCCTGAGCTTCCCGTTCTCTAACGAAGACCATAGTTTAGGGTTTAGGGTTTAGGGTTTCGGGCTCCAAGGGTGGGGGGAGGGGGGGAGTTGGTATAGTTAAGATGCCTTTGTGCTGCGGGCTCCCCGAATCCTGCAATGACAGGTTTGGGCGCATCGGGTTTCAGGGTGTAGGCTTCGCAAGTTATGGCCTGAAGGGCTTAGGGTTCAGGAGGTTAAAGGCTTCGGTTTAGGGGTTTGGGTTTAGCGCTTAGGGTTTAGGGCTTATAAAGTTCGGGGCGATTTTGGCATAGAACATCTAAAGCCTCAACCCGCAGAGCCCTATAACTGCCACGCCCCGAAAACAACTCAATGCACATGCACGGGTCGCAGACTGACATGCCAGCAGGGGCGGCCATAGCGCCGAATCTGCGAGGCTGGGCGGCTAGGCGAGCACACAGCGCTTCGAGTCGCGCTATGTCGTCCTCTACCTCTCGCAGAGCTTCCCGATGTTGGAAGTTCTCCTGATGCGAAACTTATACGGTCGACTGGCCAGCCCCGCTCCCCTCACCTGCGGCGCCAGCTCTGCAAGGTTTGGGAGGAAAGGCTTCAGACCCCGGCGGCGGCGGCGGAGATGGCTTTATCACTATTAATACTATTATTACTATTATTGCTATTGATACTGGTATTACTATTATTACTACTATTGTTACTATTATTATTATTATTATTACTCTGTGTCTCGGCTCCTTCCCTCTTTGCTGAAGTGCGCCATGGGAGCGCTCGAGTGGAATGCGTTGTGGATGTACAGCTCGTCGGATGACGCCCAGTCGGTGCAATGCGAGTTTCATTTTCCATGCC